TGCTGACTCAATTGATAAATGAACTTTTCTGGAACACTTTGCCACAAGTGACACATACACCTGCTTAAAATTTTAAATTTTTGTCAGAAAATAAGACAACTGGGAATCAGCCACCTTGAATTTAATCTTGAGGATTTTTGCCTACCTTACTCAGCTGGCAAGTCTCCCAGTTGGGATGATCATATTTCTCTGAGACCTGGAAACATGCCCATTAGAATTCCAATAATTTGCACATTTTCATTACCCATGATGTTTCACATGGCAATCTAAATTTASCAAAAAATGTCTTGTTGGCTCCACTATTTGCTCTTCGGTCCTATTCTAAAGGATCTGGCTAAGTGACATTAAGTGACATAGGAGGGGCTTAAAATGCCAAATTTCAGGTTATGCTCAAGCAAAATTACTGAAAAAAGCTCTCAGCGAGCAGATGACTGTCAACATGCCAGCATCTGTACAGTCTGTTGAGTKAGATAATCTAGAACACAAATAACAAAGCAGCACAGTCAAATCAAACCAATACAGGGGCTGGTCTGACACCATGGTACCTGGATAGCAGTGACAGGCAGCTGCAGTGTTTATTCTTACTCTCTGCTGGAAATGCCCCTGAACTCCCCTGTGCAGATGTCAGCCTATGAGTTCACATCTCTGCCTAAGCCCTGCTACTGAGCACTGGTGAGAATCAAATGCTGGGAGCACTCAAGGGCGCATCGGCTGCCTGGTGTAACAAAACTCCTGGCATTGTTTCAATCCAGTTTCCATGATGATGCAGTTGTCTGAAAAGCCTAGCTGAAGAGGGAGAACCTTTCCCATATTYGGGTTTTGTGCATCTAAACTTTTAATTAAGGGCACTGATGCATATGTGAAATTCCCATCAATCCTCAGCCTCCCCAGACAAGTGYACTCCTGCAAGTCCTGTAGGAGGAAGCATTTCACAAACTACTACTGGTCAGGAGGGACAGAGAAGACCTGGTTTCAGTGGCCAGGTGCCCTTTAACTGCTATTCACACCATCATAGCAGACGTAAATTTTGTACAGCTTGTTTCTCCTGCCAGTTTCTCTCTCTCTGCCCTTTGCTCTCCACCYGCCAGCCAGGCTTCCTACCTGAGATGGCTTGTTAACTCTTGTATGCTTTCATTTTCCTTGGAAATCCTCTGGCCTGCACATCCCTCTCCATTAAGCTGCTTCCCCTGCTGCGTCTTTGAGGCTAATAATAACYCTACACAACATCTGTCAAAACCAAACACATAAATCCACCTATTCAGAGAGTTCTGTGCACTTTGAAGAGAACTCCTGCTTATCTGCTGTCACTTGTCATTTTTTTGGTCAGATGGGTCCTTCACCGTTTCCTGATCTTTATAGCACTTCCAGGGCTTGGGTCTCACCCAGGCGGTTTTCTGCTCTTAAGTCTGTAATCTCAGTGCTCAAGACTCCTAAGCATGACAGGCCATTCATAATCCCTCCTGCTACCTCCAAATTTCAGCTGAGTTTACATGTCCCAAACTCCCGTAACACCATCCCATAAGTGACAGGGAAATTGCAGGTATGGTCATGTTGCAGCTTACCCCTCCACCTGCCTTCCTGGCAAACAGCTTTGGTTTGGGAGCCATCAGGCATAAAGCCACCTTTCCTCTCCTACATCAAGCACYGTGTGCCTCAGAGATGCTACTGGTCACAGCTCATGCTGAAGAACAACCTGATCTGTTGGGCTCTTCCCACTCAAGACACCAAAGCTTAAATCACAAATTTAGAGTCACTTTTGGATGGTAGTTAAGGGAGAGGTCAGGCAATAGCTCGGTTTCAGTGATGCCCCTCTTTGTATCCCTACAYCTTTGCAAAGGAATGTATTTCGAATGTAGGCCTAATGAGGAATGRAAAGACTACTCTCCCAAGAAGTGGCAGGGTTCATACTTCGTTGGCTACCTCCAACAAATCCTGCTCTARTAAGACAAGCTGAGCTCAGTGACTTTGGCATTACAAGGGGTCTGTACAAATAGGATATGCAGTGCCATCTGCTGATCTTTTTCTGTAAAGATCAACTGAAAAGACAATTTCTGATGGATGGCTAATTTGGGCCTCCTGGAAATTGAACTGGCTTTATCATGAGAGGCCCAAACTTTAAGCAAACAGTTAAACAGACATTTTTAGTATCTGAAATACTGAACCTTTGAACCAATAAGTTCAAAGAATCATAAATAGATACAGACCTCTAACCTCTGAGCATCAAGTTCTTGCCTTCTACTCTTTGATTTGGTATTTTGTTTCTTATTTTGCATTAGGTTATCAAAAACGGTCTGGTGAATTTTTAGATTCCCAACYACAACACAGAAAGAAAAGGATCCACAGCTTCCCAACTTGCTTCTTAAATGTTAATTCATGAAATGTTAATTCTTGTTAAATTCATGAAAAAAAAGAACTGTATGCACAAGCAAGTGTGAACAGAAATTCTTAAACCATTTTCCAAGACAGAAAGACTGAGATTAACTATTAAAAATTTAAGACCAGGAAACTCCTACTAGTGACTGTGCACCAGCYTCAACTAAAGGCTACACTGCAGCAAGAAACCTAGCTGGTGGCCTGATGAAAAATGGCAGATAGACGAAAGAGAGATTATTTGAAAAAAGGGAAATAAATTGGTACTAAGGAGGGCACATTAATGCTTTGCAATATACAGTTATGAATAAATCCAGAGGTCTCATTGAATCCCACTGTTGCTACGGAATTGTTGTAATTTATAAAAATAATTAACATTATCTGTATCTTTTAGCATTTCAGTTAACTTCAATTAACTTCACATTAGGAAGCTCTGAAAGTTCATTACTCCTGGATATCTGCAGTGGTTTTAATCACAGAGAACTGCCATGACAGTACATTAGTGCATCTGAGTCAAACACCTCATACTTGGAGCTAAGGCCACCCACTTGTGAGCAGCACATGCTATACCTCATACCACTTCAGCAGTACTTATTATAACACTACTGCTTACAGCAAGCTGTGTGGGTTGTACAGTACATTAATTTACATTCTGTCAGCACATAGAATGCTATCTCAGTCAACATCTATTCTGGTTCCCTTATTGGGGTGGATGTTTGAGCATGGGGTAGTAAATGAAAATGATGCTAACACATTTTCTTTGTCACTTAAGAGACAACATTTTGGAGAACACCAGTTACATTCAGCCTCCAAAACAGCATCTAAGCTGCAGTCTCTGAGCTGGTAACACAGCAATCCTTGGCACTGGTCATGAGGTCAGCACAGGGTCACCACTGACCATCCTCTTTCCCAGCTCACAGAGAAAGTCTAACCACAGAGCTCATCACTGAGCCATATCCCGTAATCCTATCCCCTTCTCTCCAGCCTCGAGCTAAGCACCCAGCAGACGTGCCAGCAGGGCACCGGTAGGCAACCAGCATCGAGTCTCTTCCTCTGCAGTGCACGTACACCTAGGCACACAGGCAAACTGGAGCAATGGCGGCTGAGCTGGAGTTCAGATGTGGTCATATCCTACCCAACTGTGTTAAATTCTACAGCAGTGCCTCACAGTGCATTTCTTGGGTGATAGACTCGTTTTGTATGATACCACTAACCATCACCAACAGACAAAATCCAAAAGGCACCATCTTTGACAGAACCGACRTTAAGCAAGTGAAATGTGTTCGCAGTTTTTATCTCTTTCAGTTCACTCCTTTCTGTTCTTGCACACAACGCTTTAATTTAGAGCATTTTTAAAACCAGCCTTTTGTACTCCACTATGATCCCAAGAGCAATTCAGACCCATAACGGTTTTTATTCAATCACTTGCACGGAAGGTCTAAAAACAAATAAATAAACAAAAAGCCACCAAAACGAAAAGCAACAAACGAACAGAGAAGTCTGCAGCTGCCGTCCCCTTGGGACCAGGCTGCCGCAGATACGTTTTACCTCCAGGTTTCCATGTTGCCACACCCTCCGAGGCGCCGGGACGAGGGCCGGGAGTGGGAGCACACAGCCTTATGAATGAAGCCCTTGTGAAACGCGCCGAAGCCGGGTCGCGATAACCGATAGCCACCGAGAAGAACGGGATCGGTCCTCCCCACACGGCGCCTCAATCCCCCGGGCCGGAGGAGCGGCGCGGGGCAGCGCCGGGGCRGTTCGGGGAGCAGCGCGGCGGTGATCTGCTCCACCGGTGCTCCACCGCTAGCCCGAGGGCCTGACACCGGCTTTAGGTGAAGCGCTTGCCCAGTTCCCCCATCCAGCCCGCCGGAGGGGGGTGTGTCCGCAAGCCCCAGAGGTGCAGCTCAGGGAGTTCAGGGAGACGCCGCCGCCGCCCCCTCCCGAGCCGAGGGGAGCCGGCATCCCGCCAGCCCTGCTCGGCGCCATGGCCCCGGGCRTCCAGTCCCCGCAGCCCAGCAGAGCCCACCGGCAACTGTGCGGGCTGCCGGTTCCGACGGCGGGTGCAGCGAGACGGGCTCGGGCAGGGACTGCGCTACCSTCGCCTTCCTCGGGGAATAGGTGCSGAGCTCTGACCCGGTGCAGCCGCTCGTCCGCCTACAGCGGCAGGAAACCCGAATCCCGCCGTCCCTGTGCTTCCCTCTCCGACGCTCCGAGCGGACTCGGCGGCCTCAGCCGCCATGCAGCCGCGCCGGACACGCGAAGTTCGCTCCGCTCCCCGGCGCCTGCCGCCCGGCCCGCACTGCCCGCGGGGGCCAGGCCGGTTCCCGGCGGGTGCAGGTGGGCGGCGGGCAGGGCGCGGCGGGAGGCGCTGCCGCAGCCCCGCCCGGGGCAGCCGCCAGCTCCGCCGGACGAGGAGCGCCGGTCCGGCAGGGCGGCGGGGACAGACGATGGCGGGGGGGGAGCGGGGAAAAGAAAGGGGGGCGTGAAGGAGGGCGAGACACGAACCAGACCCAAAGCCAAAGCGGCGCGGCAGGACGGCGGGGGCGCGCGGGGATGCCAGGCGCGCCGCTGGCCGGGTTCATCCGAGGACAAGCGCTCGCTCCCGCCCCCCTCCCTCCGTCGCCGCTGACCTGTGTGCACCCGGTAGTGCGCCTTGAGGTGGGAAGACTTGCCGTAGACCTTGCCGCAGCCGCTGTAGGGGCATTTGTGCCTCTTCTCGGTCGCCAGCTTCCCCTTAGGGGCGGCCCCGGAGGCGCGCAGGCGGGGGGGCGGCCCCGGCGGGGGGCTCCGGGGCGGGCTGGAACCCTGCTCGGTGGCCGCGTCGCTGTCGGAGCCCGCGTCCTCGTCGGGGCTCTCCACGCTGTCACTGCAGACGGAGGGGGCGGGCAGCGGCCGGTACTTGTTCAGCTCCAGCAGGCTCTTGGCGATGGCCAGCAGGGCGCAGTAGTCCTTCCAGGCGTCGCGGGGGTCTCGCAGCTCCCGGGCCGCCTCCCCCTCGCCCGGCACCTTCAGCCGCGCCGCCTCGGGCACAGCGGAGCGGTTGGAGATGGAGACCAGGCACTGCGCCGCCACGAAGTCCACGTACGCGACGGCCGACATGGTGCGGCCGCGCCCCGACGACAAGGGGGGCTCCGTGCGCCCTCAGTGCTCGTTCGCCGGGCCGACCGTGCCGCCGCCAGCCATGGCCCGCCCGCGGCGCGGGAAAGAGCGGGGCGGAGGAGGAAGGGGGCGTGGGGGGCGAATAAATAGCGGGGCGCCGGGCAGGTCCTTCACCGCCGCCCCCCGGGGGCGGCGCGCAGCCGGCGAGGGGGGAGCGCCGCCCGCGCGGCCGGCCCGGGTCCGGCGCGGGGGCCGGGGGAGAGGATACCGCCCGCCCCGCGCCTCGCGTGCTCCTGCCCGGGGGCGGCCGCGCCGGGGCCCATCACGTCAGGCGCGGAGCCCCTCCCGCCCCGGCCGGTCCGCGGGCAGGGCCGGCCGGCTGTGTTTACTTTCTCCCCCCGCCACTCACGGCTCCCTTTTCTAGGGGGGGCGTGTCCGCCGGGCGGCCTCCCCGCCAATCCCCGCGCTCCCTCCCCAGGCCGCGTGCTACTCCGGGCGCCCCGCCGCGACCGCTTAAAGCAGCGATGCCGGGGAGCCGCCGGGAGCGGGACAGCGTGGGCGCCGCGGATCCGCTCCCCGCCGCGGGGATCGCCCCTCCTGCCCGTCGGCGCCCCGGAGGAGCCGGCGGCGGCCTCGGATACGGGTCTCTGGCCGGGGGCGGCGTAGGGCGGCGGCGCCGAGGGGGTTAAGTGTCTCCCTGGAAGTCCTACGGTCCCAGCAACGGGCCGGCCAATGGGAAGTGAGCTGGCTGATGTCACTGGCAGCGCCCCGCCAATCAGCGCCCGATCCCCAAAGGTGCGCAACGCTTGGAGGCGCGGGGAGCGGCGGGCGCGCGCTCCGGCCGCGGCCCCCCCTCACGGCTGGCGGGGAAGGGCGGGCGGCGGGGATGCCCCGCCCGGGCAGGGTGTCCGTGACCCAGCCGCGAACCCCAACTGGGTACCCCTTCCCTGCCCGCCACCGGGGCCCGCGACATGGGGCGCCCCGCACCGCCTCGGGACAGGGACCCCCGGCCCCGCGGGCGGGAGGCGGGACGCGGGTCCTCGCAAAGCCCCCCGGAGAAGCGCTCCATCATTACAGCGTCACCACTGAGGCAGATAGCTCCGTCAGGCGGGGCAGAGAGGGGCCTTCGTGCCGCCACGATCAGCGAGGGAGGTGCCACGGCGGAGGTCACCGGGGCGCGCCACCGGGAAAGAGCTTTAGGAAGTCACTTGCTGCCTGTTGCCACTGTTGGCAGATAAAGGTCAGGTTGACACTTAASCCTGTCATCGAGTAAGTGTCATCCAGCCTAAGCGAATCCTAAAATTCTGCYACCTCTGTCCAAATAACACACCCCCCTCTGTGCTCTAGCGGACGCGCAGAGTTCTTAATGTTGTGAAAGTTACCTGACCTGTGCTCGGCCAGGGAASAGTGAAAATTTATTTTCTAGATCAAGCACTGTTTAGAAGGATGGAAAGAAGTTACCATCATCCCTAAACCAGCAGCACTGAGGTGTGAAGTATGTCAGTGTGTTTTGCTGTTTTGCAAGTGTCGGGAGAGAGCATAGCAGAAAGGCTTTGCGTTTGAAATAGTGCACATGARCCTCTATACAGCATTAGCCAAAATAACACGGGTGACTCTGACATCACCATCTAGATGAAGAACCACTCCTGTCAGACAGAGGAGCTTTTCCCTCCTTTTGTGAGCGGCATCCTGAGGAGACTGAGCCACGGCAGCTCAGGGTCCCTGACTGAATGTCACTGCCCGGACAAGCTGCAGCGCGCCCTTCCTTGCGAAAATAGACAGGGCCTGAATGGAGAAGACCTTTATGGATTGCTATTAATCTCATTAACTGAACGTGGAAATTATGAGGAAGTGGTTACCGAAATCAGGCAGTGTTGTTCTCTTCTTGCAGGAGATAAAAATTAGTAATGTCAGCCATTTTGTGTGCTTGCACACTAGATTGCTACGTGCAACCTCAGGCAATAATAATCCTTTGCCATGGATAATTGGCATCAGGCTGAAATAATTTTACATGTCATGACTCAGAAAAAAGCCTCCCAAAACAAAATCCACAAACATAGCAAAAGAATTAGGGCTAGGTCTGTAAGTGGATCATCTGTAGGTTGATGAAGACCAAAGAGAGAATATGAATGTACCTAATGAGGCAGTCATCCAGTCTCAGTCACCAGTCGACAAGTCACTCTTACCTTGTTCTCACAGCATTTTTTCCAGGTGATCCAGCATCCGTTTGCCTCTGGTGCTTAAGAGACACCAGGCAGAATACGAGGTGTAAACTCCAGGTCTGGTAGGAAGGAGGAACAGAAGGTATTGTCGTGTCTGTATCACTAAAGCTGTTGATATATGTCTGTTTTCTGTGTAGTACTGGTACCTACAACCTTCTGTTTCCGTCAAGAGAGTCAGCAGCATTTTACACAAAAGGCTGCATCCCTGGTTCATTGATTTGGATATCCAGAATGTAAGTTAACAATTTATATGTTTGTCATCCTTTTCTACAGCACTTTTAGAGCTTCTTTGGCTGACAGTGTCCAAAAGTTTCTGCTAGGAGATGTCCTCATCCACATTTCAATGACATGCAAGTTGCTTCCCAGAAATGACTTGCTTATTTCATGTCAGGTTGTCATGTTAGCAAATCCTCAGTTACATACCTCTTAAGTTAATTTGTGCAGTTCAGACAGGAAAGTGTTAATAATGAATTAAAATAAAAAGAGCCAGACCTTTTTGTTTGTGAGCTTGTTTTGTTTTAAGATAACTCTTGGCTAATTTAAAGGTTAGAACATAATCTGTGYCCATTTCCATAACAAGGAAGCATATCGAGCATTTAAAATAATTCCAATATGCCTCCAAGAATACGTGGCCTGTTGAAGACAAAGCCATGCCTCTCTTTTTGATGTATGTATCAGTACAAAACTCCAAGACTCCAAGCTAATTAGATCCAAACAACACTTARAAAGCAATGCAAACAGAATTTTATACTTTGACAGAGTATCAAAATGACCTTGAGTGCTTTCTGAACAGCAACACGCATGTGCCTGGAAACGGGACTGTRCTCACAAACCTCTTTATCTCCAGATGACAGGGGCCATCACTTGGATTTGACTGTGGTGAYGGTAATACTGGGATACGGTTTCAGAGCATGAATTTAATCCATAGCTGAGTTTATTTTACACAGCTAATTTTTTGCAATAACTAGGCTAAACATGGATGATTCTCATAGATTGTACAGATGGGAGGTTAAACTTGGCAGAGGAGTAGGAACTAGGTAGTCTTTAAGGTCTCTCTCAACCCAAACCATTCTGTGATTCTAAACCCATGGCAGCACTTTGATGCAACCCTAACACCGTTCGTCACCCAAGGGCACTTTCACTTGTGAAAGCCTGAATTCAACCCACACTTTATGGCTCCACCCCAGCTCCTGGTGGGCAAATACTTGCCCATTGTTCAGTCCTCAGCMGAGGGATGTGCACAGGTTCTGCGAGAGATGTAAGGCTGCGGAGGAAGAAGAGCTATTTATTATTTCTGAAGCTTTTAAAAATGTGTTCTGTTTTCAGAACCAGAACTTTTCAAAATAAAAGCCATGCCAACCCTGCTTTACTCCATGCCCCCCAAATCTTGTGCACCCTGACCCCATGCCTAAAACATTGCACCCTTTTTCCAGAGGATGAGGGTGACACACACCTGGCAGCAYTCGGAAGAGACCCAGACTGTGGGAACCCTCAATCAGTTTTGCTCCAAAAGCCAATTTGTGTAATGATCTTTAGCTCCACTGTGGCCAAGAAGACTTTCTTTTGAGGAACAACTGGACTTGTAAGGACCGTCTGAATCAGGTGTCCTGCTTCAAACCTTGTTCTGTTGCTTTTTTGTGGGCTGTTYTACATAGCACAGAGGTTTCTTCTCTGATGGTAACTTTCTGTCAAGACAAGATGAAGAAATCCATTCTTCTTCTGTATTAGTATTTCCTATTATTTTCAAGATTGGAGGCTCCAAACATTATTCCAGATTCTACTTAGACTTCTTTCAGTCTCCAAGGCTCATGGCATAAGCTCCAAATGATTTGACAAGATCATGAGGGATTGATCAATAGTTAGAAATRGCTGAAATTATATGTCAAGATAAATGGCCGGTTTGCTGATGTGTGTTCTTAAAGCCTGTGACATGCTGAAAATTTATGACTGATACTCTGGCAACATGATGGAATAGTAATTCAGTGGTCATATAAATGTGAGCACATTGTAAAGCATTTTACACTACATGGTATTTTTCATACCAATGTGTTGCCCRGATTGTCAGCATATATTATCAGGGAAATACAGCAAACTCTTCCACCAGACAACGGCCACAATGCCCGTTGTGAAGCCTGGTGTGGCGGGAAGGAAGTACTTTAACCTTTTGAAGAGATGCCTCTCTGTCACTGAACATTCAGAGCATACAAAAAGTTGCTTTATAAAGCTATGTGATGCAAGAGAAATCTTCATCTTTTGTAGATCAGAAAGATTCTGCAGAGTTGCTTGCTACAGAAAGGATTGCAAGACACGGTAAGCATCCGCTAGCAAACTGTCCTTCCATTTTAAAAGCAGCTACACAGTAGAAAGCTGCTGACAGAAGGCACTTCTGGTCTGAAAATCCAGGAGTATGAGGATTMTCAGTCCCAAATTCAACTTCCTTTAGCAACAAGAATTGTGGATAGAGAGCTGTGCTCTTTTCCTTGTTTACTACTCTGCATGACATACTGTTTACTACTTGAAGCCTTGTTTCTCTGTTCTTACCTTTAGCTTCTTCTGGTCTAATTCTGCCCATATTCTGCATGACAGGGTTGATTGTTGTCTTGAGGTCCTTCTAATATCTCTTGAATCACAGTTTAACTGTGAACAATTCAGCTGATCTTGAACCTCTGTAATAAAGATGGCTGCTCCCTCCTGGATCTCCTCTGCAGGTGGTAAATACACAGGGCATGATGATCCTCAGCCCGTTTGGGCACCAGGGATCTGCATTTCAACTTGGTTTGGATGTCGATAGTGGTGTAGCCATGGCAGCATTGAACTCAGCGTGGGCTAGCTGCTTGAGTATGCACCCAGGATCCCAGATGGGTTTTACAGCCTGCATCAGACACCATCCTTCAGTGTGCATATGGGTGTGTGAGTCTCAAGTTCAWAAGTAGAAAGCTAGACTAGAGTTAATTTGGGAACATCTACCTTTGACTGTAGCGAAGACATCCAGTGAAAAGTGAACTGGTGGCAGAATGGCCATAACACATGTGGGGAATGTGAACTAGAGATGAGCCTCAGTTGGCACCACTTGGTCAAAACTCATCAGGGTGGTTTGTTGAGTGCTGTTGAATGCAAGGCCTTCAAAACTTCCCCATTAACACAGGCACAAGAGCTTGTGGCACTTC